TGTGCAACATGTTTTGTTTATGCTAACAGCAACATGACCAACATGTCAGGCTAACCCCGAAATCCCACATACTCCGTCAGCAACCCCCGCCCCGCCCCACTGCGCTCCAGACCGCCTGCAAAAAGTAAAGCCTACAGCCTCCACTGTGGCTCCCGTCCGCTCCCCTCTGAGTTCCTTGTAGATCGTAGAGGGCATGCGAGAGATGATTAAATTGAGAGCAGTAAAACATATGGAAATAACCCATGGTTTCCGCGGATCATTAAAAATAATTACAATTCATACATTTTTTTGAATTTTTTTCATTAATTTCATTAATTTTTATGGGATTTTGGTGTAACAATCAATATATACCAAACCGAACCGAAAACCGTGACCACGAAACCGTGAACCGAACCAAACCGTGGATTTTGTGAACCGTTCCACCCCTAATCTCTAGTGTGTACTCTACTAAGCCCACAGAATAAGCTAATAAGAGAATAGCTTTACACACCGCCATGCAAACCCAAAACTGCCAGGGGAGGGGTCAACTTTTAAGTTGTACAAATGTGAGGTGACTCAGCCTAATTAACTAAACTACTCAACCTTTTGGTAAATGCCCTACTGACTCAATGCAATCAGCTGGTTTTCCTTAGATGGAAAACTTTATTTTTTAACAATCTGACTAGATGACCTGATTGTAAAGTGACGTGAGATGGCATGTGTTGTGAACTGGCGCTATATAAATAAACAGAAAAGAATCCTGGACAATATTTTGTGCTAATATTTAAAATGATTATCAGATAGCCATGCGTTAGAACAAAGAAAAGTTGGGTGAACCAACCCTGAAGGCTCTGAGCACTGCTAATGGGTCATCAGTGAGTCTCTGAAGCAGGGCCGGCCAGCAGCGATGAGCCATGGGCAGCAGCTCGTCCTCCTTCTCACTCAGCACAAACACACACTGCTCCAGCACATCCAACGCCTTTAAACAGAACATGGCAAACAATTAAAAATCTATGATCGCATAGGTTGTGAAGCACAACACAAAAGTATTCATATACCTTGAACTTTTACACATATTGTCACTTTACAAAATCAGAAAGTGTTTCATTAAGGTTTTTACATGTATTAAGGACACCAATACATGGTAATCAAAATTAAGCAAAACCAAGATGCATCATACATGCATTTTTTCTTTCATCTTTTAGAAAATACATTTTAGAATCATTCCTGGCTGAAATAAAAGTTGTAAAACGTTTAGGTTATGTTCCTATCAGTATTACCTATCTACATCTATAGCCTCAGGCAGAGTTTTACCTTCCTCTTCCAGCCAGTTTGGTTTCATTATTCTGTCTTACTATTTTTTTTAGCCGTGTCCAGACCTTTGTGCTTTCATTGGTCACTAATGTTTTCTTACCTCTGAGGATCTCCCAGAAAAACTGGACTTATGAAATTGCATACATGAACTCCATCTTCTTATAGGATTAAGCTTTTTAAGAACGTTGGTTACATTAGACTTCATTTTATGCTAATCAGAGTAAAGCAGGATTGTATACAAAAAAAATAGGAATTAAGGGGCTATAAATGCCTGTGTGTGGCACTTAAAGTGTTTATTTGCTTGTGCTGATGAACTATTAACAACTCTATAAAAAGTAAGACTGGAAGGACAGAGCATTAGCAGAAACATTGACAGGATGGAAAAATGAGCCCTCTTAGGGGGAAGTGTGGCTGAGGGTTGATTTTAAACCAGGGGACATGAGCACAGTCCTCAACAGCTACAACTTTTATATGGATCCTTGCTCCTTTGCATTAAAGTGCTGAATTATTTCATCAGCAATCAGTCAGTCAGTTCAACAGAAACTTTGTATGAATCATTTATCTGATTCAGTTATACTGAAGATGCTGTGGAGGGGAAAACGGCTCTGGAGGACGAGACTTGGACACTTAGTCTTTCAACTGTACAACAAACAGATCATGTCAGGAGATCCTTGATGTCTACAGCCATCATCATCATCTACATCTCTTTAAGGAACCCCTATAATGTGAATTATGACATTTCGTCTCCTCTCGGATCAATAAAATGAGTCCCAAGGCAAGGAGAGCCATTGCAACATTATCCAAAATATAAATAAAAAGCCATAAATTGTAAAGAAATAAACCAACATCTTTTAACTATGCCATATTCAAATGACAAAACATATTTTTCTTTAGATTTCTTATTTAATGTTTATTCAAAGGAGCAATTTCCCTAAAAATTCTTAGCTTATGAAAATGTTTTGAACTGCTAATTATTCACATTATCAATGCACATTGATCACCCACACCATTCATTTCGATAGATTGTGGTATTTTTAAGACAAAAATTGTCTTTTTAGTGCCACTTAGACAAAAGATATTCAAAGTAAAAAAAGATTTACTGTATCAAGAAATTTCAGTTATTTTCTTCATGATCAAAACCATGTTTGCGATGATATGAATACTTCATCTTATCCTCTAATACAGTGGTAACCAATTAAATATCAACGGGGTCCCAATAAAGAACATCAACAACCAGAGGGCTTTACCATGTTAACAGGAGAAGCGGCGCAAGTGAAATTAGACACTGTCGTCGGACAACATGCGGTAATTTATAAATGCTTTAAATCAGGTTGGTTAAAATTAGCCAGCAGGTTGGTCCGAATCCGGATCGTGCTTCGCTAATCCATGACCTCTGCCCTAATAAATTCTGTGTGGATTTCAATTTCTAGTTTTAATGAAATTCTATGACTAGAACCAAAGAAAAACTGGATATATTCATTAAAAATCCACATTTAATAATAAAATTCCCCCCCAAAAATGTTTGAACATCAAGAAATACTATGACTGTTTGAAAGAACAACAAAACTGGCTTTTGTTTTTTTTTAACCACAAAAAGATTGTTATTGTCACGTTGGTAGTT